AGTAGTTCCATTTATTTGGGAGGCTGAGACACAAGGAGCACTTGAGCCCTAGAATTCAGTGCCAGCCTGGGCAACATAGACCTATATCTTCAAAAAAAAAAAAACAACAGAAAAACCCCAAAAACAGTTGGTTTACGTCTGTTTCCTTCTATTTCTAATTTAGGGGGTGGGCACTAGTGGAATTTGAACTCAGGGCTTCATATACTATATCACTTAAGTCATGCTCCCAGCCCTTTTTTTGCTTTTATTATGTTTCAGTGGGGTTTCAAGTTTTGTTCATGGTCTCAGATCACAATCCTCCTACATAGGACTCTCATGTAGCTGGAATTGCAAACTCACAGCACCACTTTCTGCCTGGTGGCCTCCAACCACGATCCTCTCTATGTCCACGTCTATAGTAGCTGGGATTATAGGTATTAGCCACCTCACCTGGCTCAATTTTTAAATATTTTCTTTTCTTTTTTTTTTCTTTTTTTTTTTTTTTGGTGGCACTAGGGTTTGAACTCAGGGCCTCACGTTTGCTATGCAGGCCACTTGAGCCACTCCACCAGCCCAAATTTTAAATATTTTAATACAACAAATCATTTGGCAGTTGGAACCTATACTGAAAAAGAAGTAGTGATACACATGTCAGTAGACTGTTCAGGTATACTGAGGGCCACTTAATGCTAAGTCATTAACACTGTACAACTTAAATTGCCATTTCTATCATATAAAATCTTGTAATCAAGGATCAAAATGCATTCTCTAAACTAGTGACAAATTAATTGGACCCTCTCTACAGACAAAAGCTAGCTTATCAATAATGATATGAATTTGTGGACCAAAAAATAATAGAAAATGACCACTATGGAAAACTCACAATAACACGTTTTTCTATAGAAAGATAATTAGAAGATACATGTTAAAAAGTACTCAAAAGCACCCAATTTCCCATAGTGCTTTATAAGGAAATCCACTCACATTATAATTGTTAAGATACTTAGCATGTATGTCATCCAACATATCTTAAGTTTGAAGTAATTAAAAAAAATTATTGGCATGTCATTTCCATATAGTAAAATTCACCTCTTTAAAGGCTAGGGCGTGGCTCAAGTGGTAGAGTGCCTTTCTGGAAAGTGCAAGGCCCTGAGTTCTAAACCCAGTACCACCATAGAGAAGAAACAACAAACCTCATCTCTCTCTGTTTTACCACCATTTATTGGTTTTTAGTATAGTTGCAGAGTTGTGCTAAATCACAACTATCTAATTTCAGAATACTTTCGTCACCTCAAATAGGTGTCCCCAGGAATCATTTCTCTCTCCCTCTCTCCCCTGCCAACTACCAAGTCACTCTTTGTGCCTCTGGATTTGGTGATTCTGGACATTTAACAGAAAAGGAATCATACAACATGTGACCTTTTGTGACTAGCTTCTTTTACTTAGCATGTTTTTAAGGTCAATGTAGCATGAATCAGTGCTATATTGAATTTTATGGCTAACCCATTGTGTGGATATACCACATTTTGTGTATACATCTATTATTTGGAAAGGCTTTTTCTTGGCAATCCTGAATAATGATTCTGTGAACAATCCTGTATGTGTTTTTGTGTGTACATGTTTTCAAGTCTCTTGGGTGGTACCTAGGAGAACTGTTGGGCCTCCTGGTGAATTTTATGCTTAATTTTTTGAGGGATTCCATTTCAGCTGCCCCATTTTATATTCCTACCAGATATGTGTGAGAGTTCCAATTTCTTCATGTCCTTGTCAACATGTTACTATCTTTCTATCTTAGTCATCTTTTTGGGTATAAGTGGCATCCCATAATTTGATTTGCTTTTCTCTAATGGCTGGCAGTGGTGAGCTTCCTTTCATAGACCATTGTGTCTTTAATGGCCATTTGTGTATCTTCTTTGGAGAAATGTCTATTCATTTCCTCATTTTAGAACTGATCTTTTTTCATTTTGATTTTGAGTTGTAACGGTTCTTTATATAGTTATGAAAGTACTATCAGCTATATGATGTTTCTCCAATTCCATGGGGTATCTTTTCACTTTCTTTTTTTTTTTGGTGGTCATGGGGTTTGAACTAAGGGCCTCAAACTTGCTAGGCAGGTATGCTACCACTTGAGCTACTCCACCAGCCTTGTTTGCCCAGGTTGGCTTTGAACTGCAATTCTCCTGATCTCCGCCTTTGGAGTAGGTAGGATTACAAGTGTGAGCTACCAGCACCCACTGTCTTTTCACTTTGTAGATGATGCAAAAGACTTTTTTTTCCCCTTGTGTGTGTGGGGGGGGTACTGGGGTTTGAACTCAGGACCTTGTAGTTACAGGCAGGTGGTCTACCACTTGAGCCACACCTCCAACCCTTTTTATGCTGTAATTATTTTTAAGGTAGTCTCATGTTTGCCCAGGATTGGCCTCAGATACTATTGTATCCAGCCAAAGGTCCTTAGTTCTGATAAAATTTAATAGTTTGTATACCTCAGCTACAGAATTCTTTTTTTTTAAAATGTCCCCAGATATACAAGAAGTAATTTACAGCATCATTCAGTAGAGGCAACATCATCAATCAACTTCAAAAGGTGATATATGATTTTCATTTCCTAAAGGTAAGTGGCTTATTCTTTTATAGTTTTGTGTCTTCTAAGATGGTTACTTAATGTGCCAAATATACTTCATATTTTCAGGGAAATGTAAGTTGTATTCTCATTTCTTGACAGGGGTATATGTCTATGTAATAAAATGGATGAATAGTGAAAAGTAAGATCTTATATTCTTTTCCTTTTTATTTTTTTGGGTGGGGGGTGGTGAGGCAGCACCTTTTTTTTTAGAAAAATACTTTGGCTTTTGTACAGGGCTTTCATTTTCATATAATTTTTAAAATTATATGTCATTTTCTGTATAAAACACCTGTGTGAATTTTGTCTACAATTGTCTCTACTTTGACACGATTGCATGGTAACTAGTATATAACTGTGTTATCAGTTATAGAGATAGGGTTATATTGATATGGTTGTTTGTTGAGGGTACCAGTCTTCTGTTTTACAGTATCATAATTTATTTTGTAGTTATATGTGTCTTTTTTTTTTTGTGGGACTGTGGTAGTATGTTTTAGTTATTTTTTTGGTGGTTTTAGGGTTTGAACTCTGGGCCTAATGTTTGCTAGGCAGGCACTCTTCCACTTGAGCCACTCTGTCAACCCTGGTTTTTTGTGTTGGATATTTTCGAGATAGGGTTTTGAGAACTATGTGCTCTGGCTGGCTTTGAACCACGACCTTTCTGATCCCTGCCTCCTGAATAGCTAGGATTATAGGCATAAGTGATTGGTGCCTGGCTCTATTTTTGCTATTTCTTGCCAGCATTTTACCTTCAAGTTTTTGGATCTTTTTTTGTTAGTTTGTTTTATAGTTCTGGGGATCAAACCCAGGGCCTTGTACATACTAGGTGAGTGCTTTTCCACTAATATATAACCCAGTACTCCCCCAGTTTTGTCTGTTAAACTTGGCTTCTGATTTTTGATAAGGCTTGAAAGACCTTTCCCACTCTGAAAATAAATATTAAAATTCTTCCACACTTTAATATGTTTTTGATATTTTGACACATGTATATGTGTGTATATACATGTATGTGTGTTTGTATGTGTGTATATATACACACGCACGTGTTGATGTATTTATTTTTTGGGGGAGTGGGACTGTGGATTGAACTCGGGGCTCCACACTTGTAAAGCAGGTGCCCTGCAGCTTGAGCCACACCTCTAGTCCATTTTCACAGATTATTTTTGGAAATGGGAGTCTCTAGAACTATTTGCTCAGGTTGGCCTTAAACTGTGATCCTCCTGATTTTCAGCCTCTCAAGTAGCTAAGATTACAGGCATGAACCACTGGTGTCTGGCTGATATTTTGATTTTTAATGGTTAATTTTTATCTGAACATCGTCTTACTCATAAACCAAAATAAATAAACCAGATGGCCCAACGCCAATTGTTGAGTAATCTTTTCTTCATTAATTTGAAATTAATAAAATTGCTAGTACTAAATCCGCTTGTGCATTAAGGCCTATTTTTGAAGTCTTTCTGTTTTATTAATCTGTGTCAATTGATGTGTTGGAATTAAATTGCTAATTATTGTAGCTTAATGTATTTTAATATCTGCAAGGAGAAATTTATCCTATTTTTTTTTCGGGGGGAGGGAGGGACTGGGGTTTGAACTTAAGGCTTTGCACTTCCAAAGCAGCCTGGATTGCTTGAGTCACACTTGTAGTCCTACCCTATTACTTTTTTTAAGTTGCTTTCTGTGTGTGAGTGTATGTTATGTGCACATGCATACTTACTATAAGTAGGTATGTGGCATTTTCTTCTATTACATATTTTAGTCATTGTTTGTATAGTTAAAGCTTTTGTTCTTTTTTTTAATTTTTTTTTAAAGTTCTGGGGATAAAGCCGTGGCCTTGTATATTCTAGGAAAGCACTCTGTGTGGGCTGTATCCTCAGACCTTTGTTTTTCTGAGACAGGGTCTCACTGTGTAGCTCAAGGTGGCCTTAAACTCCAGATCTTCCTGTCTCCAGGTTTCTAAAGTGATGGGATTATATACATGTACCACCACACATGGCTCTAAATCTTTTTGAATTAATTAGTTTTGAGACAAGGTCTTGCTGTGTAGCTCAAGTTGGCCTTGAAATTGCTATCTAGCCCAGGCAACTCGAAATCCTCCTGCTTCCACCTCCTAAGTGCTGGAGTTATATAGGTGTGTACCACTGTGCCTAGCTGAAAACTTCTTGCGTTACAGCTTGATAACAATACTTTCTCTTGATTTGTACACTCTAAAAGTTGATGATACAAGAACAATGTATTTGAAAAATATTATCAGTCCTTCAGTTGCTCCCTCATTCCTTTTTAATTGGCATAAATAGAGAATCAAGAATGACTATAGAGCTGGGGGCATGGCTTAAGAGGTAGACTGCATGCCTGGCAAATGTTTAAACCCCAGTACCACAAAAAAAAAAAGGCTGTATATCTGCATTATCAACAGCAGTTCCTTTTAAAATTTCTTTTTAATTGTTTATACTAAGATGTATTCATATAGACTTCAGTAAAGGCACATGCAGTCTTTCTCATTTTTTGTTTTTTGGCTTCTGAACACCTCTTTTCTTCAAAGACCTTGATTCATTTTAACATACTTATTTTGTGGTATATACTCTAGTAGACCCTAGAAGAAGATGTGTAGGAGGTACAATTTGGACACCCTACATATCTGAAAATACCTTTATTCTAGACTCATGCTTAATTGCTTGGGTAAAGGATTGTATATAGGAAAGAAATTTCTTTTTGAAGGATTTTTCCTATTGCAATTCTGATTTTTTTTTTTCTCTCTCTCTCTGGTACTGGGTTTTAAACATAAGGCCTCCTGTTGCTAAGCAGGCCCTCTACCACTTGAGCCACACCCCCCAGTACCTTTGTGCTCTAGTCATTTTTCAGGTAGGGGCTCATGTTTTTGGCCAGGTAGGCCTCATACTGTAATCCTCCAAAGGATCACAGGTACGTGCCACCTCCCCCAGCTTGTTGGTTGAGATTGGGTTCTCGCTAACTTTTTGTTCCCACTAGCCTTGAACTGCAATCATCCCAATTTCTTCCTCCCAGGTATCTGGGATTACAGGTGTGAGACACCATGCCTAGCTTATAATTCTGATTCTTAATTGTGCAGTATTGAGGGGTTCCCTTCTATAAGTTTGGGGGGGGTCATCTGTTTATGGTATGCTTAATTAAAATCTCTTAAAATCCATTTTGGTAGATGTTCTTGGCCCTTTTAAAGTGAATACATCCTTCAGTTCTAGGAAAAATTTCTTGAATTTTTACTACTTCTCTTACTTTGAACAGTACTGGGGTTTGAAATCAGGACCTGTATTTGCTAGGCATGCATCCTACCACTTGAGCCACGCCTCCGGCCCTTTTTGCATTTTTTGCTTTAGTTACACCTTTCAGATAGAATCCCTTGCTTTTTGCCCTGGCTGGCCTCTGATTGTGATCCTCCTACCTACACCTCCTACATACCTGGAATTAGAGGTGTGCACCAATGCACTGGGCTTGCACCATTTTTTATTTATTTATTTTTTTGGTGGTACTGCAGTTTCAACTCAGGTCCTTATACTTGCTAGGCAGGCGCTCTTACCACTTGAGCCACTCCATCAGCCCTTTCTTGTGTTGAGTATTTCTGAGATAGGGTCTCTTGGAATTATTTGCTTGGAGCTGGCTTTGATGTCTGCCTCCTGAGTAGCTAGGAGTACAGGCGTTAGCCACTGGTTCCTGGCTAGACTTGTTCTTTGAAATAGGGTGTCGGTAGCTTTTTTTGCCTGTGCTGACTTTGAACTATGATTCTCCTATTAGTATCTGGGATTACAGGTATATACCACCATACCAGCCTTTTCCTTCTGTTTTGTAAAACTCCAGTAACTGGCCTGTTGGACTTCCCTGGATAGTTACCTATTTTTCTTCTCATTTTTCCCTGTTTGCTATTCCAGCAGTTATTTTTTTTGTTTTGTTTTGTTTTTTTTTGTGGTACCAGGGCTTTAAACTCAGGGCTTTGCACTTGCTAGGTAGCTGTACTGCTTGAGCACATCTCCAGCCTTCTAATTCTCTTTTTGATCTGCTATGTAGATTTATTTACCCTTTACCTTCTAATGCTTTTATTGATTTGTAAAATAATTTTGTCTTATACTGTTAGTATTCTTGAATATTTGTATCAGATGAATTGGCCTTTTTAGTTTTTGTCTCTGTAGTTAAAAAAAAAAACAACTTTTGTTTTGAGCAGTAATTAGGGTTTGAACTTGGGGCCTCAGGCTTGCTGGGAAGGCACTGTGCCACTACCTGAACCACCCCATCAGTCCCTTTATGTATTAGATATTTTTGAGATAGAGTCTTGTGAACTATTTGCCTGTGCTGGCCTTGAATTGGAATCCTCCTGATTTCTGCCTCCTGAGTTGGTAGGGTTACAGGTGTGAGCTACTTGGTGCCTGCTCAGTGTATTTGTTCAAAGCTACTTCTTTTCTTCTATGTTAAGGTTTTTCTTTTTATAGTGACTCTTTGATCTTTTAGTTTCTATCCCATAATATGTGGGGTAGGCTGCCAGCTTCTTGAAGATTGCTTTTGAGTAGGCAAAGAGAGGAATAGGTTTTAGCGATCAATATTTATACTCGTATTTATTCCTTTGTTTGCCTATATGCTACTTCGCCCCTTAACCTGTTCTTATTGAACCCCAAGAGCAAAGACCTTTTGCTTCACTTCCTGTAGATACTTCCTCTTTTTGTGGTGATAGAAAAGCAGTCTTCTGAGTGCTGATAATTGCACTTGCAATCTAGAAGTCTATCTGCTTTGTGTGTGCGTGCGTGCACATGTGTTTATGTCAAACCCTGGGTCTCTTGCATGCTTGGCAAGTGGTCTACCACTGAGCTACATCCTCAGCCCTTTTTTTTTTAAGCCCCATTTTCTATAGAGCTTAGTATCACCAATTTCTGAGTTTTGGAGGATTCTGTGGTCTGTATAGAGCTCTGCTTCTCCACTTTCTCTGTTTCTAGCTTAGGGTTCAGGTTGACTGGAGTCTGTTAGATCAGTTATTTGTCTTTTTTAGCCCCATACTTTTTTTTAATTGTTGTCTCTCTTATTCATTACCCTTTGGGTTACTGCTTTTGTCTTATTTTGTTTTAATGCCTCTCTCTTTTTCATAGCATGTTTTGAATGGGAATAGGAGTAAATGTTTGTGATTAAATCTGCCCTCTTTACCTGTCATTTTTTCCTTACGTATATATGTGTATTGTTTTTCCCCAAATAGGATTTTACTTTTTCAGTGTAATCTAATCTGTTTTATGATTATATTGTAAAATTTTCTGTTGTTTTTTAAAACTTTTTTCCACAGCATAAAGTGGATGCATACTATTTGATTGGATTTGTGTGTCATAGTTTACTTCAAGGTAGAAATGCTAAAATTAAATGCTATGTTTATTGTGAACTCTGAAAAAAAAAAAAAACTAATGGTGGGACAGGATAGAATTATACAGTGGTATAATGAGAGCTGAATAGATGATTACATCTTTTATCTTTTTAAACATTTAAAAAATACCTTTTCTTTTAGGTGCTGTATAATGTGTTAACAGGTTATAAGGAATGGTTTTATCAGATTTTCATGAGTTATGGTGGCTGAAACATCAGTTCTATCTTGTGGGAAAAGAACTGTAAGTAAACCTTAAGGAATAAACTTTTAACTATTCTGTGTTTTTGTTTTAGATTTTATTTAAATCAAGGTTATTTCTGCATACTCTTAGCATTGCTCTATTTCATGGGTTATATATTAATTTTTATTTTTTAATTTTTCAGAAATGGCAGCACAAAAGGAAATCTATATTAATAGGGTACTTTGTTAAACAAAGGAGGTTAAATAAGAGCCACAGACCAACATACTCAGCAAACAAGGAAAGAAACGTGTTAGCCATAAGACATGTTTCAAATGAATCAAAGTCTAGTAACTGTAGACTTCAGAAGAAAAAAGTTTTCAAAAATTTTGTCAAAACAGACAGGCCAGTGATAAATAACTCCTCCAGAAATAGGGCTAGGCCTGAAACTAAAATTAATTGAAAAATTAACAAAATAGATTGAATGTGAATTAAGTTTCTTTTCATAAAGTTTCTAAAAATATCAAATTAGAATTAAATTTTCTTCCGATTTCTAATCTTGTTCAATGTAAAGCAAACATGCCAGCTTTTCTTATGTCCTAGAAATGACACACAGAAACCTTACTTGAAACAAACTAGTATTTTTGTGGAAAATGTGTATCAGCATAAGTTAAAGTTGATTTTCATGACCTACTCCTCAGTAGTTATACTAGATACTCAGCGTTTGTACCTACCAGAACACAAACAGTCCTCTTAACTATTCAGAAAAGGAAGACATTACTCAGGAATAATGTCCATTCAGGAGAAATCAAAAGAAAATTCCTCCAAAGGTATTAAAGAAAGTGAAGATAAGAATTTAGAAGTAGAAAGTCAAGATTCTCAAAACAGTATAGTAAAAAAATCAGGTCCAAAGAAAGCTGTAAAGTCACTGGTTAAAATAAATCAACCTGAATCAGGAACACGCATGAGTACAAGGTCAGCAAAGGTAACCTCCAGTGACAAAAAAGCTACTAAATCCATTAATAAAAATATGGTAACTGTGAAGGGACATTCACAAGAGTCCACCAAAAGGAAATTATGTCAAAAAAAATTAGTGCATGAAACTTCTAAAGCAAATGAGCAGCTTAACCGGAGATCACAAAGACTACAACAGTTAAAAGAGTGTTCCACAAGGTCTTTGCGCAGTAGAGAGATTCAGAGTCAAGATCAAGCAGTTAAACAGAGTTTGCCACAAACAAGAAGAGAACACTGTAGCAGCAGTACTCAAAATAAGTCTAATAAAGTTAAAATAAGTCAAAAGCAGGTGAAAAGAAAAATATTGGAAATAAAATCTGATTGTAAAGAGGATGGAAATTTAGTAACTAATGAAGTAATAAAGTCCCCTAAAGGAAAAAAACGCAAAGTAGAACCTCAGACAGCTTATACTTGTAGTTCTCGATGTGTTCAAGGATCTGAAAAGTGTCTTCAAAAAACTACTACTAGAAAAGAAGAAACAAAACTGGTGCCTGTAACTTCTGAAATAAAAAGATCAAAAGTGGCTACTTCAGTGGTCTCTAAAAAAAATGAGCTGAAGAATTCAGTTCATACACAAGTGAATACTAGCACAAAATCCCAAAAAAGTCCACAGCCATTAGTGCCTGAACAAAGTGTAGATAATGAGTTGGAACAAGCAGGAAAGAGCAAGCGTGGTAGCATTCTCCAGCTCTGTGAGGAAATTGCTGGTGAAATTGAGTCAGATACTGTAGAGGTAAAAAAGGAATCACAAGTGGAAAGTGTGAAGGAAGAGAAGCTTACTGAAATAAAATTGGAAGAGACTGATGTTGAAAAACAAATGCTTCATCAGAAGGGAACAAATCAGGATGTACAATGTAACCGATTCTTCCCCAGTAGAAAAACAAAGCCTGTGAAGTGTATACTGAATGGAATAAACAGCTCAACTAAGAAGAACTCCAACTGGACTAAAATTAAACTCTCAAAATTTAACTCTGTGCAGCAAAATAAGTTGGACTCTCAAGTTTCCCCTAAATTGGGGTTATTACGAACTAGTTTTTCATCACCAGTTTTAGAAATGCATCATCCAGTGACTCAAAGTACGTTTTTAGACACAAAATCACTTGATAAAAATATGACTTGCCAACAGGAAAAAATGAAAGAAATTAAACCTGAAGAAGTTAAAATTAATGATATTACAGTTGAAACTAGTAAAATTTCAAAAAGGGCTCCTGAAAATTGCCATTTGGATAATCAGATAAAACCTTCTTCTGACCCACCATTGGATAATCAGATGAAACATTCCTTTGAATCAACAGCAGATAAGGTAATCAGTTTTCATTGTGCTCAGTAACAGTGCCTGAGTACTTTCTAATAAGAAATAAGCATGTGCAGTATATGTTAGCTTAAGAATTAAGTAATAAAATTATGAACTCAGTCTTATAGCGATAGAACTTGGTGACTCCTGTAGATGTTTCACTTTTATGCAGATGTTTCACTTTTATGTAGATGTTTCACTTTTATGTAGATGCTTCCAGTGTTCATTTTCACCCTTTATTTTGTGGAAAGTCCAAATCTATTGAATGACAGCTTTTCTTTTAACACACTGATATACTTCATATTTCTATTTATTATAAGCACAGAACCACCCCTCCCTTCAATATCAGCAGTATTGAGAAATGATGATGGTTAGTAAGGCTGAGTATCCAATAAGTATGGATTTTAATTACTAAGACATTATGAATTTTAAGGCTCAATTATTTTATGATCTGTCTTTTAAATCCATAACTATCTGATAATGGAGAATGGAGTTACTAGTAACAAGTCATTGTTCTTGTTTTTAATTTTTCTGCTTTGATTTTTTTTTTTAATTTTTATTGTTTTATTCATATGTACATACAATGCTTGGGTCATTTCTCCCCCCTGCCCCCACCCCCTCCCTTACCACCCACTCCGCCCCTTCCCTCTCCCCCCCAACCCCTCAATACCTGGCAGAAGCTATTTTGCCCTTATCTCTAATTTTGAAGAGAGAGTATAAGCAATAAAAGGAAGGAACAAGGGTTTTTACTAGTTGAGATAAGGATATCTGCTTTGATTTTTAAATGTTCCTTTTTTTTTCAAAAATATGACATTCAGAAGTAATGTTACATGTTTATTTTAGCATTGGCAATACAGACCACAAATTATTTCCCTCTTATTTCTGTTTCCATGAAATAGCCAGTGTGGATGGAATTTAGAGTATATATTTTTTTAAAAAAGATTTTTTATTGTGATATATTCATTATATGGTGGGGGCATTTGAAATGACAGTTCCAGTCAGAATTATATTGTACATTATTTACATTTCCCCTATTGTCTCTCCCCCTCAGCCCCCTCCCCACCCACCCAAAGCAATTGGAAGAGGTTTTTTAGTTCTGTTTCATATAGGTATGTTAAGTCCATTAACCATATACCATCACCTTAATCTCCTTCCCTCCCCCTCCCCCCTCCCACAAGTACCCCCCCCCGAAGTATGTTCTTATTACTTAACTAATTGCATATCTGCTTTGACAAGGTTCTAAAAGGCTATAGAGAATAAAAAGATGAATATGATATGATCATTGCTCTTAAGAGTTATTGATGAATCAGATAACTGATAAGGGCATGAAAGAGGTACAAACAAAGTAGGCACAAGGGAATTAGAGAGGACGGCCTCATGGGAGAGGTTAATTTTTGAGTACTGAGTTGAATTTTTACAAGTGAGAAAGGTATTCTAGATCAGGACTGTCTATGTATAAATGTAATGTAAGCCACATAGATAATCTTAAATTATCCAGTAGCTACAAAAAAATGGAACAAAGATAAGTAAAATTAATTTTAATATATTTTACATATATACATCTGTCATGTAAAATACTATCATTTCAATATACCAATTTAAAAACAATTTTTTTTGGCAGTACTCGGGTTTGAACTTAGAGCCTGCTACTAGGCAGGTGCTCTGCCACTTGAGCCACTATGCCAGCCCCATTTTGTGTTGATTATTTTTGAGATAGGGTCTCTCAAACTATTTGCCTGGGCTGGCTTTGAACCGTGATCCTCCTGATCTCTGCCTTCTGAATAGCTGGGATGACAGGTGTGAGCCACTGGTGCCTGGCTTTTAAAAAAATTATTAATGACATACTTTACTCTTTCTTGTGTGTGTGCTTAAGTTTTCAGAATTTGACTTGGTTCTTTTTTTTTTTTTTTTTTTTTTTGCTTACAATGCATTTCAAGTCATACTATCCACATTTCAAATGCCCAGTAGTTCAGTTGTGGCAGTGACTTCCATATTAGGCAGTGAAGTCCCAACATTAAACTCTGAAAAAGGTAAAGCTAGGCAACTGTGGAATGCATCTGTGGGAGTGGTAAGCTTTAAATTGAGCATCAAGGGGAGGAATGAATGAGAGTAATGTTGAGAGGGTAGCTGTGACAAGAAAATGGACAGACTTGTACTTTTTTTTTTTTTGTGGTACTGGGGCTTGAACTCAGGGTCTATATCTTGGGGCACTTTACCAGCCCTTTTTTGTGAAGGGTTTTCAAAATAGGGTCTTGAGAACTATTTGCTTGGGATTTGCTTTGAACCACCATCCTCCTGATCTCTGCTTCCTGAATAGCTAGGATTACAGGCATGAGCAATCAGCACCTGGCAGACTTACACACTGTTATGTGAATTACTCCAGTTATAAACTATTATCTTAAACTTTATTAGAATGTTGAAATTAACTGAAAATTTATTGCGGAAGCTCCAAAGGTTGATAAAAAATCTTGGAATTATGTGTGTTCAGAATTTCAGCCTGTGTTTGGAATCCAAGCAGGAAAATAGTCCAGCAGAAAACACTGCTCTTTCAACTCTGCCCAGTCAAGCAAAAATTGATGCAGAAGAGAGTAAATTTCCAGGTACTATTTTAAAAATAATCTTTGGATTTTAGTGTTCCATGCCATTTGTGTTACTATTAAAGAAAACTTTTATACCACATAGGCCTGCTAACCATTACTGTTTTTCAAATTTGTGATTTTTGTGGTTATTGCCTAGTTCAGGAGAATTGCATCTGTTGATTTGTTTAAACATCTAAATACTACTTTTTGACTTCCTACCAAAAGTTCTTGTTTTTACTTCTCTTACTTGGTCACTTACTCTTTGGAGAAGTGTTCATTAATGAATTGCTTTTAAGTTGGTGATAGCAGCTTACTTCTCAGACTTTATTATTTGTGTTTTACAATTACAGGTTTTAATCTTTTACCCTCAGTAACTCAGTTTTCCACCTCAATGAGTCTTATATCTGAATCAAGTATTTATTAATGCTGCATAAATTTCCAGCTATACCATAGAAAAGCTTTACTTTGGTAACCTTCAGAACATTTTTTACAAAATATTTGAATGGATGGGGATTTTGGATGGGGATTGATGAAACACCAGAGGATATAGAAATTTCTAATTCTGGGGGCTGGGTGGGTAGGGCTCAAGTGGTAGAGCACTTACCTAGCAAGTATGAGGCCCTGATTTCAACCCCCAATACTGCAAAAAACAAAACTTTTAATTCTGCTGTTTCTGTCTGCTAAAAGAAAAGTATATTTGGGACAAAATACTGCCATCAGATAATCATTGCCATCGCCTGTCATTTAACTTTTTCTCTTAGTAGAGGAAGAGTGGGTATAATATATATATGAGACATATATTTATTGGAAAATAAAGTGTATTTATTACTGCATTCAATTATTTATAAAAAAATTCCAGACCATAAATTTTTAATAAGGAAATGTTTTCATTTCCATTTAGAATTTATATAATTGAAATCATTTCCCTTATTGTTCAATACTAGTAATTGCTGGTGAATTTAGTGGTAAATGGTTAACCTGCCACTAGATATATTTATAGCTCCATAGTCTGAGTGTGAGACAGCTTTTCTGTTTCTTTTTTTTTTTTTTTTTTTTGTCCCCCTGTGGTATGGGGGTTTGAACTCAGGACCTACACCTTGAGTCACTCCATCACCCTTTTTTTTTTGAAGCGTTTTTTTCAAGATAGGGTCTCATGAACTATTCTCCTGGGCTGGCTTCAAACCACCATCCTCCTGGGATTATAGACCTGAGCCACCGGTGTCTAGCTGCTTCTTCCTCTTTTCTGAAGAGTAATTTCTAAGTAGGAGATTCTAATTTTATCAAATGGTTTTTATTAAAAATAAAAAACTTCAATGTACTAAATGTTTTATGAGCAATATTTTCTATAATTAGAGGGCTACTAAAAAGCTTAATATACAGACTATCTTCTTGATTAAATTGCAGGTTCAGCTCCCAAACAGCATAGTACACTCAGTAACCAAACATCTAAGAACAGTGATAACAGGTAAGGTATTAGTATAATTTAGGTGTAAATTTGAGAAGGACTTTATGCTTAAAAGTTTTGACTTTAGATTTTTTCCTAAAATAGTTATGCTAATAACTATTATTGATTTCATTGATTTCATTGTGGTAATTCCATACATGTCCTCCTGCATTATATTCCCATTCCCTGCTCCCTCCCCTGCTTTTTTTCCTACTACATTATAGGAAAGGTATTGTGGTAACCTGAGCTGTCAGTCTCTCTAGGTTGCTCTTGCATGCAGTTGGAGACCCTCCCCTTTTTTATACAGTGGTTGATGGGTTTCATTATGCTGTCTATAAATTCTCTCTTTATTGTGCTTTTTTGTATGTGTGCACCTATACACTTACTAGCTTTTTTACTTAATGTACTATGGGCATCTTTTTCTACCTTCCTCCTTTGTTCTTTTTAAATTTTGCATTCGATTTCATTGTGTGAATGTTCTTGATTATTTAACTACTGTCTACCTTATGAACATTTTGGTTGCTTCTAGTTCATTTCTATTACAAAAATAAGATTCTACAGTAAACACATGTCTTTGCCTCCTTGTGTGACTATATCACTAGGGTAACTTCATATAGCTGTAAGACTTACCCTGCTTTGCCTAATATACTTCCAAGTTGGTTGGTATGGTTTATACTCTCAGCAACAGTGCTTCCCACACACATAACTTTTGGAAATAGTGGGTGTTATCAACATGTGGGGTTCTTTTTGGTGGTACTGAGGTTTGAACTCGGGGCCTCACACTTGCTAGAAAGGTGCTCTACCACTTGAGCCAGTTCACCATCCCACAACATATGTTTTTAAGTAAATGAAAAAGCTTTTAACAGAAAGCTTTAATATCTTTAATATCAGAATTAAATAAATCTTGCAGGTTTTTTTGCCTTTTGGATTACAAACAATCTTTGGAACAAACTATAAAACTTTAAAACATGTTTAGATGCTGTACTTTTGTTTACTGAAGATGAACTTTCTGTGCCTCCTGACTAAAAACAGTAATTGACATAATTATATATATTTATGGGTAAATGATCGTTCACCACATATTTATAAAGTATAATGATCAATTCAGAGTAATTGGCATATTAATTACCTCAAATATTTATCTTTTTTGTGTGTTGGGAACATTGTAAATTCTCTGCTGCTACTATTTTGAAATATACAGCTATCAACTGTGCCTGGCCCTGAGTGCTATAAAACATTAGAAGGTATTCCTCTTACCCAGCTGCACATTTGTACCTATTAAACTCTTGTCTCCCATCTCTCCCTTCCTGTTCCTTTCTTACCTTGTGGTAATCACTGTCTTCTATGAGATTAACTTTTTTAGCTCCTACATATAAGTGAGATCATACAGTATTTGTCTTTCTGTGCCTGACATATTTCACTTAATTTAATGTTTTCCAGACTTAACCCACGTTGCTGCAAATGGCAGGGTTCCATTTTCTCTTATGACTGAGTAACATTCAGTTATGTACATGTAACACATTTTCATTATCTAGTCATTCATTGATAGGTATCTAATTTGATTATAAGCCTTGGCTTACTTTTTTTGATTTATATATATATGTATATATAAATCAAAAGAAATATATATATATATATTTGTGGCATGCTGGGCATTGAGCTCAGGTCCACCTTAAATGAGCTCTCCCATTCTTCCCCTTGACTTTTAAAAGGTTATCATTTTCCCTGTAAAGTTGAAATATGTCATGGCTACATAGAAAAAATTTTTTCCCCTCTTCAGTGATTTAAAGTGATATGGATGTAACATTTAGTAGTTTATTTATTTTTAAAGGGAGATACCACCAAATCATTCTTGGCCTAAGTGTAATTCACATTTGGAGATAACAATTCCAAAGGACTTGAAACTAAAAGAAGCAGAGAAAGCTGATGAAAAACAGTTGGTCATAGTAAGTACACAACTTGACTCTTTTGGTGAAGTGCTATTATAAGTATCTTATTTATGCAAGGTGCTAAAAATTAAATTTGTTCCTTTTTTTACAGAGATCCTTTTTGTCATTGTAAATATTCATTATGGAAAATATTTCTGGCATTATTACAATCTCTGCCTCTCAAAATAAATAGACCATCTTACAACAAATCATAATAATTCTGTTTCCTTCTCGTTTTATTTATAACAAATTATAATATTTTTTTTATCTGATGTTTTCTTAGATAAGTCATTTGATCATTACCTTCTTTCAATAGTTGATTTAAATAAATAATACAGTGTTTCATGCATCCAGTGATTTAAAATCTATTATACATTATAATTTTAAAATTGCATTTGACAGAAAGAATAAACTATAGTTAATCTTTGAAGTAAGTATCCTGTAGTTGGGTGGCAAGGTGAAAAAGAGGGAAATAAAAATTCAGTTAATTAAGAACCCAATTTGGGCCCGGGCCTGTACAAGGCTGTAATCCCACCTACACCAGAGGTGGAGAGCTGGAGGTGTCAACATTTGAGACCCTATCTCAGAAACCTGTGTGAGGTAGTACATGTCTGTGATCGCACCTACACAGGAGGTGTCAATAGAAAGATCTCAGTTCATGCTGGCTAGGCAAAAAATGTAAGAGCATACCTGAAAAGGAACTAAAAAAAGAGCTGGAAGCGTGACTCAGGTGGGCCATAGCAAGTGCCCAGGCCTTGAATTTACATCCCAGTACTGCAAAAACAGCAAAACAAAAAAACAGACAGACCTTTTTTTGAAGAACTGAGGACAATAAAAAATGAAAGAACACGAAGTAATAGGGACATTTAATGTATTTTCCATTGACATAATCAAAGACTTTTTTGAGACTGGTGTAACTTTAATCAGAATAACGTTGCAAGAATTGTCTAGACATTTTTCAAAAGATACAATGAGAAGAAAACTTTAATAATGTTTCTATTTTCAAAACAGTGTGTTTGTGAATAGGATTGAACAAGAATTGGGCTGCACTGTCTATTATTGTAGTCCGTGTAGCTGCTAAATACTTGAAATGTGGCTTACTGGGATTGAGAGAAGCTGTCAGTATGAAAGTACTTTCTTTGAAAGAGCAGTACAAAAAAAATGTAAAGCCATTCACTATTAGTGTTTTTTTTTTTAAATAGTGAATATATGTTAGAATTACAATATTTGAGATGTTTTATTAAGTAAAATATTACTAAAATTATTTTTACCTCTTTTTGCATTCTCTAATGTAGCTTCTAGAAAATTTAAAATTACATTTGTGGTTCACATTTCTTTTGGATACTATTGATTAAGAGTTGAAGATGATGTTAATGATGATACCAGCTAATATATATATATGAATATTTTATATTTTGATTTTTTTTCCTTAGAACTCTCAATTGTCCTACCTCATTCTCCCAAGTGCTGGGATTATAGGCATATACCACCATGCCCAGCAGCTGTTACTTTTAAATGCAGCATATGTGTGTTCCACTCATACTTACTAAAGTTATGCTTTATAGGAAAAGTATGAGGCAGATACTAATATATTTATCATTTATCAATGAGGAAACTGGAACAAAAGTGCTTTGTCGTTTCTATGAAAACTTCTTGCTGAAAGATATTTGTACATCCATGTTTGCTATTCACTGTAGTCAAAAGGTGAAAGCAAACCAAGTGTCCATTGATGGATAAATGTATAAACAAATCATAATACATATAATGGAATATTTATTCAGCCTTATAAAGAGGAAATTCTCACACTACATGAATGAACCTTGAACATTATGCTGAGTGAAATGGCAGTCACAAAAAAAGAGACAAATACTGTGTGATTTCATTTATGTGAGGTGCCTAAACTCAGTTAAATTCCATACAGAAAGAATGGTGGTTGGTTGCCAGGAGCTGGGAGGGATGGAAGAATGGAGAGTTGTTATTTAATGGATATACGGTTTTCAGTTGTGCAGAATGACGAGTTCTAGAGACTGTTGCATAAAAGTGTGAATGTACTTTAAAATACTACTAAACAGTACCTTTAATATAGTTAAAATGATGAATTTTATTTATGTTTTACCACAACTACAAGTTTTTTGTTTTGGCAGTATTAGGGTTATTTTTTGGTGGTACTGGGGTTTGGGACTCAGGACCTCATGCTAGGTGGGCACTTTAGCACATGAGCTACTCTACCAGCTCTTTTTGGTGTTGCCTGTTTTCAAGATAGGGTCTCACAATCTATTTGCCTGGGGCTAACTTTGAACCAGGATCCTCCTGATCTCTGCCTACTAAGTAGAGGAGCTAGAATTACAGGTATGAATCACTAGCACCTGGCTTTTGTTTGTTTGTTTTTAAAGAAAATGTACCTGAAGTTTCAGGTAACATTTTGTCAGATGGTTTGCATCCATTAGAATGAATTTGGGGGCAGGGGGTGCATGGTAGTGGGGATTGAATTCTGGTGCTCTACACTGGAACCACATTCCCAGTCTGAGTTTCCCTTAGTTTTATATACAATCTTTTATTTACCGTTTGATCTCTCTTTGCTAGTTATAAGGCGCTAGAGGTCCTGTTATCTAAGATCTTGTTCTTTTCCGTAGTTAATGGAGTTTAGTTCACGTTGCACAATTACAGAGCAGAAAGAGTAAGGGAGTTATGACTATTTAATTTGTTCTTTAAAAATTTTCTTTATTAATATAAATTAATTATATAAAGGGCTTTGTTTCATTTGATGTTTACATATATTCATATAATATAGTTTGATTAAAATCATCCTGTCTATATTATTCTTTCTTAGTTTTCTTCTTCCCCCAAATTTATTCTTTTTTTTTTTTTTTTTTTTTTTGATGAGACTGGGATTTGAACTCGGGGGTTCATGCAAAAGTAGGCACCCTACCTCTTGAGCTGCGCCTCCAGTCTATTCTGGTTATTTTTGGAGATGGGGGGTCTCAGTAGCTAAAATTACAGGCGTGAGCCACCAGTACCTGGCATCCCAAGTGTTTTCTTAAAGTTAAATCATATTGTCAAAATTTTCTTGTGGAATAGGAGAAGAATAGAAAACGCTTGGTAAAAACAGTTAATATTCTAGGACAGATGTATGGCTTCCTGGAAGATCGATGATTATAGTCTTGCATGCTTATTTAATATAAAGATAACAGAATAATTTCTGAGCTGGAGATTGGAGGTGTGGCTTAGATGGTTCAGGAGGATAGTGGTTTGAGGCCAGACTGGGCAAGTTGGAGACCCTCTCATCTCCAAAACAACCACTAAAAAGCAGATTGCAAGTGTGGCTCAACTGTAGAGAACCTGCTTTGCAAGTCCCACCAAAAAAAAAAAAAAAAATTTCTGGTGCCATAAAAATTTTCTTTGAAATGTCTACAAACTGTTTAGAAATAAACTGTTGAACAGTTTTTGGGTTTTTTTTTTTGTTTGTTTGTGGTACTGGGGTTTTACCTTAGGGCCTTGTGCTTGCTGGTACCGCTTGAGCTACTCCACCAGCCCTTTTGTATTGGTTATTTTTGAGATAGGGTCTTATGAACTATTTGCCCAGGGCTGGCTTCAAACTGCAATCCTCCTGATCATTGCCTCCTGAGACACTAGGATTACAGGCATGAGCCACTGGCACCCAGGGAGAACAGAGTTGTTTTTTTTTTTTAATTCGTTCTTATTTATTTTTAGACAGTCTCACTGTACCTAATGCTGGCCTTGAACTCACAATCCTTATGCCTCAACCTCCTCAGTGCTGGGTTTACAGATGTGTACCACCATACCTGGCTAAGTGAAGAGAGTTAAGACAATAAAAAAATAAGAGTATACAAAACAGTACTTCCTCTAAATTCTAGCAGTATAATTATTATAAATATGAAATACATTAATTGTCCTTTGTAGAGTATTTGTTTTTGTGTAAGTCTGTAATGGTAAAGATATTTCTTTAAATTATATGCTGTGAAATAATTGATCATGTTAGTAAAATGAGGACATTTCTTAATACAGTTGGCACACAGATTTCAGATATTAGCATCTTAGTTTTTGTAATCATCCTTATAAATTAAGAAGTTCTTACATTATGTTTACATTAGGCCTGGAGTCTTTCTGTCCTGGAATACTTGTTTTAGAAAGGAAAAGAAAAACTTTTGTTTGTTTTTTTTATAAACAGGATGCAGGACAGAAAAGATTTGGAGCAGTGTCCTGTAATGTTTGTGGAATGCTTTACACAGCTTCAAATCCAGAAGATGAAACCCAGCACCTACTTTTCCATAACCAGTTTATAAGTGCCGTAAAATATGTGGTAAGTGGAATTTATGAATTAAAAAATGTCAAAATCAGATAATTAGGTCAAGATCTTAATGAGATGAATTGTCACACTTAAGTCATGGAAATTTTTCTGTTTTTAGGGAACAATAATATATACACAGCACATGTAATGTGTATACTGGCTTGTTTTTAAATAAAGCCAAATATAAAAACCAGGTAATTTATCCAGACTAGTTTATATTGTGGGATTTTTATATTATACTTTTGTAAATTAGTTATGCCCATTCTAAGAAACGCTATTCATCTTGAGTTTCTTGAACGTTTCCTTTGATTTTAATGATTACTGTTGATGGATCTGTTTAATAGTCACATGACTTGGAACAACTTGTATTTAGGGATTCATAGTGACACATATTATACCAAATAGCTGGTTTGGGGGATTTTCTTTACTTTCTTTGCTGTCATGAGAGTTTGTCTGTATAATATTAAAAAAGAGAAATTCTTGTATATACTGAAAAAAAAAAATCCCACAAGTAACTATGGTTTAGTATGCAATATATTTTAGCATAAAATACATTTTTAATGTAAATGCATGTGAGGCATAATAGCAATAGTTAATCTTTATTTCTGGAAATAGCAAAATTTTTAGCAGTTTTGAACCATTTCAGATATCTTGTGAAAATAGTAATTTAGTATAATTGCTGTTTATCCGTATCTGAAATGGAGCCTGTTTTTATACATGTTACCTTCAGTACTGTACACTCAAATTATTAAGACCTCCAGGATATCTGAACTGAGATCACCAATTCATTTCATGTAGGCCTTTATTTGGGTACAAGATACTGTATTATTTCAAGGTCTTTATTGACCTCAGTTAAGTTCATATGCTTAGCTTTGGTAGAAGGGGATTTGTATTCATTGTTTCATTCATTCAGTGACTCCTACCCAGGATAGGTGAGATTTTCTTTTCTTTCTTTTTTTTTTTTTGTTTCCCACTCAGGTCATCTTTTGTATTTCTTACTTTACCTGCCTTTTCCACATGTACTTTATCCTACCACTTCACTAAATAAAATACAATGTGTGTGACTATAGACTATAACTAGATAATGATTTATCATTTGAAATTCATACTATATTAATATCCTTACATCTAGAAAAGTAGAATTGTATTGAGTTGTTAAATTATGGAATACTTATGGAGCAAAAATGCTTGTTTACTTTATATACATGAATATGATAGAAGTAATTTTTATTCACTTTACATAAATTTAATTCTAGTGATCATTTAGTTTTCCAAAATTATAAAAATACTACATTTAAAAAACTTACCTCTTTATCTTAGGAAAATTCTTAATTTCTGAGGGGACAATAAATTAATCAGGAAGTAGATGCTCTGCTCTTTTAAGATGTGTTGATGTATGTCAAGGTGTAGTTCATCTTCTAAATAAATTTTGATCCTCCTGCAAAGCTGCAAAGCACTGTAGTTACCTACGGAATATTGCTTCCTGTTCCAGACAACTTTCCTCACACCTCCCTAGATGGGACCGAGCTATCGGTTATTTTATTTATTTTTAATCTCATGAGAAGGAAATGAGTTTAGCAGTTGGTCGTCTTTTGCTGACATCTATGTCAACATTCTTATTTTTTGCTGTTTTCAAATATACATAGAGACTGAGTTAAAGTCTACTTCAAAACTTTGTCAAACATTCTTTAATAATGTAAATTGAGAGGATAAAAGCTTGGTTGTCTTATGTTAAGGTGTTCTGCTTGATCAAAACTCTAGATTTTGGGTTGGGACATTAAAACAATTTGTTAGATACCTTGTACTGTTCCTTGCATAGACATTAAGCATTGAAATACTTGACAAAACTTTCAGTGCCAATTTTATCTGTTAATGTTTGGTTTTTGGTGAGAAGCACATAGAAAAAGAATTCATTTGATACTGTGTCTTTAATTCATGCGAAGTGGACTGTACTCAGGGACTCACAATACAATTTTATTCTATTTAAGACTATTTAAAAGTAGAATAAATTAGAAACAATGAGTTCTCCTTTTCAAATTTTAGTTAAACGTTCTTTAGAAAATTAAGTACCTTTTCTTTAGGCACTTAGGGTAAAAATTTTCCCTGGACCAATGACAACAGACATGGCTAATGTCCTATTTGAAAAAGTTAAATTACTATTTAAATTATGTAGTCATAGTAGAAATTGATGCTCACAGAGCATTCTTTCTCTTACCTGTTACATTCTTGTTGGTTTTGTGGGGGGGGAAGAGTAGGTAGATAATTTCTCTATTCTGACACCCTTTGGGGAAATGAATTTTATGGGACTTACTGGAAGCTAATTAGGAAAAACCTTCTTAGTGCCTCAGGGGGAGCCTAGATTCTGGTTTAGATCCAGCAAGTACTTTCCCTACATGAACTAGGGTACTGTTTCCTAAAGATAAGGCAAAAAAGTAGAAAGAGTTCTCCCTTGTTGTCAGGAACTATTAGAAACTTAAGTACAAGTATTTTGAACTTCACTAACACAGAAGAGGAATATAATGTCTTGGTTGTTTGCCTAGAAACTTCTCTCAGGGCTATATAATATGGCCTTACCTTCAAGCTTAGAACTAAGTCTGAGAGAACAAAAAGTAAACAAAATATTTAAGTTGTTATTAAAACTATAAATCAACATTAAATATTTTACATAAGTGACCAGAAGAGCACTAGTTAGAAAAACGGGTCAGAAGAGGGATTTGTTTTCATTGGTGGACAAGTTTTTATGTGGTTTGATAACATAGTACAACTAAAACAGAAAACGTAACATCTTTTTGGGTGATAATGACTAGGTCTTTTTGACTGACCGGAGGATTTTTGTGGGTAATCAGCTAAGAAAAATAAGTCAGATTTTGATACTTTGATATTGAATGCTATTTGGACTTTTTTTTCTTACAGATGTTGAAGAATTTGAGCATTATAAGTGATACAAATTTCAGTAACTTTAAAAATATTTTGGTGAATTGTAGGGAGAGTGATATTTTAGTGGCATGGAGAAATAGTATAATACATGCAAATGGTGTATATAGTGCTGAATTGATATGGCATTGATGAAGGGATGGGTGGGGGACTGACTGGGACAGAAACTTTCTGAAGAAAGATGTTACAAATCTCTGATTCACTGAAGAGCTATGTTAGGCAGCACAGTAGCCAGTAAGACACATGAAATTAAAAATGTTATTCTAAGTCACACTTGCCAGTGTTCAGTAACCACACATTGCTAGGACCACCATAGGAGACAGTGTAGACATAGAATATTTGTATCATCACAGGAGTTTATTGAACAGTGCGGTTGTTGAAAGGTGAGAAGTTATATAATGACTAAATTTTTATTTCAGGGAAATCATGACCCAGTTACTCTTGGTTAACTCTTATTTGAAACTTGAGTATAGACATGAGTTTACTTCTGGGTACTTTCTCTGTATTCATTCCTTTTGAAGATGACTAGGAGAAAGAGGGAAGATGTTAGGGAACAGTGAAGTGAATAGCAGAGTAGAAGTAGAGATTCTAAAGTTTGGAGAATGGGAAAGGATTCTGAAGCAAAGTAGCCTTGGCCTGTGATTAAAGATTACCAAACTGTATGTCAAGCTTCTAGGGTGCTGCTTCCCTGTTCCCTGACTTGGATTTTTTCTTTTTTTACTTCATTATATTTTCTAGACTTAGAACACTCTGTATGTAAATAGCACTTTCAAATATTAGAAAGAAATTTTGCTTTGGGATAGGAGACCATTTGGTAGAGACAAAAAAATGCCTTTAGTATGATTTTTATACTTTTAAAAAGAGTTTATAAGCCCAGAGGGGAATAACTTACGAGGTGGCAAATAATCTCTCAAACCTTTTCTCTCTCTCCATATCAGATGGTACCACTATCTACTTATTTCCTCAAGCTGAGAATTTCAGAGTAGTCTTTTAGAAATTTTGTTTTTCTTAAACTGCATTCCATTTACCCATTCATTAGGAAATCTCACTTTCTAAATAGACTCCCACTCATTTCTTTTCTACTGCTACCACTCTAAAGCATGTTGCTATCATTTCTTCTTTGTGTAGTGCTCTCCTAACTGATCTCCCAGCTTTCATTTTTGTTGTGTCCTTCAGTCCATTTTTACTGATATTCACTGTGTGGTCTTTTAAAAATAGGTATGAGGACTGGAGGTGTGCCTCAATTGAGTGGTAGAGTGCCTGCTTTGCAAGCAGGAGGTCCTGAGTTCAAACTCTAATTCTACCAAAAAAAAAAAAAAAGACAATGAAAACATGTACAAGATTATGGTCAGTCCTCTGTTTAAAGTTCTCTAGTGAATTCTCAGCAATCACAGACTAGAGTAAAACCCATGCTTCTTACTGTGACATTAAGACCTCACCTACTCCAGTTTCTAGTCTATCTCCTTACACTCTCTCCCTTACTTGCTATACTTCACTTATATACCTCTTCTTTCTGTCTCTAAAACACTCCAGGCACATTCTATTCTTTTTTTTAATTTTTATTTTATTCATATGTGCATACAATGTTTAGGTCATTTCTTCCCCCCTCCCCCCACCCCCTCCTTATCCCCCCTTCCTCCCTTACCCCCCCTTACCCCTCACTACCTGGCAGAAAAAAAAACTATTCTGCCCTTATCTGTAATTTTGTTGAAGAGAGAGTATAAGCAATAATAGGAAGGACCAAGGGTTTTTGCTAGTTGAGATAAGGATAGCTATACAGAGAGTTGACTCGCATTGATTTCCTGTACATGTGTGTTATCTTCTAAGTTAATTCTTCTCGAACTAACCTTTCCTCTAGTTCGTGATCTCCTTCTCCTGTTGGCCTCAGTTGCTTTAAAGGTATCTGCTTTAGAGGGCAACAAATGCTATCTAGTTTTTTCGGTGTCTTACCTATCCTCATACCTCCCTTGTGTGCTCTTGCTTTATCATAATGTCCGCATATGAGGGAGAACATACGATTTTTGGTCTTTTGGGCCAGGCTAACCTCACTCAGAATGATGTTCTCCAATTCCATCCAT